CATTTTTTTTCATTTTTAATATATATACTTTTAATATTTGAATGCATTATTCTTTTTCATCTTAGTGATTTGACCTCTTCCCCTACCAAAGTTTTAATGTGTCTGTTTCATTCTTTTTTTTCCTCCTCTCCTACTAATTTTTCTGTTTTTTTTTTCTTATAATTTTATTTAACTTATCTTTGCATTTTTATGTTAACCTTCATGCATTGCACATGTGTAAAAATAGTTATAATAAAATAAGTTAAATCAATCCCTACTTTATTTTTTTTCTTTTATCTTTTTCCATTGTACTTTTTGTACTGATATATTTCTATTTTTATTAATTCAATTAAAAATTTGCACGAATAATACTTAAAAATATAATTGTTTTTAATTAATTTTCCATATAAAATTCTTATCAACATGAGCAAGTACATTGTGAGTTCACAAATCGTCTATCAACATTCCTAAATTGAAATAAAAATATATATAATTATAATGAGCAAAAGTTGATTACGTAAGCTAATAATGTTGATCCTTAAGTGTGATGATGATATATATTACTGAAATAGAAGATGCTCAGCAATCAGTAGCTTTTTTTTGCCTTGATTATAGGAGTAATACTATTTTAACCAGGAATAACAGGACCTAAAGTGATACCTCAACAGAAGCAACTACGGAGAATAATAACTTTTGTGAATGATTGAAATAAATTTGAGATAGAATGTTTTGTTTTAAAATAGCTTTTCTGGTATGTTGTTCATTAAAGAGAGAAGTCAATAATTGTAATTGTAATAATTGTGTTCGAGAGGAAGGTAGCGTAAGTCAGTGAGTGATGGTGCGAGGAGAGAGTTTGAGAGATGACAAAGTAACCACTTGAAATTTCAATAGAGAGAAGGAGGAAAATTGGGGAGCCCAATCTGATGGAGAATCTTATAATGGGTGTGGGTAACCAGCATGAATCAACTTAATAAATATGGGTAATTTATGGATAAATTATTATGTATTCTAAGAATAGTTTGTTATCTAAAAACATAATACATGGACAATATAATCATACATGACATTGGATCAAAGTATAACTATTATATAATCAAATTTTAAGTAATTCATTTAACGGTAAATAAACATGTGAAGTATATATAGATGACACAAAAACAAAGAAACTTTTAACAGGATAAAGAAGTGAATTATATAGTTGAGGTGTATAAGGTGGTTGGAATTGGAATTTGGAACACACTTGGACCTCAGCATACTTAAGTGCTTAAGTGTTTAGTTTAATTCTTTTTCTTTATTTTTGTTTCTTTCTACATTCAATGCTGTTTAAGTGCTCATACATTCTTTTCTGAATTTTTTTTATTTTTTATTGGATAACAGAGGAAAAGATTCTTTTCTTTTCTGGTTGTTTGAACAAATAAGCTTCCAAAATTTGTATACTCTTATAATTCAATGTATTCTTTATAAATCTATAAAAATCTTAACAAAATTATCATAACTGAATATTCTCACGTGTACTATGAGCATATTGTTATGCACTTTAAATTGAGAAAATGAAAGATATGATAGAGGAAGAAAGGTAAAGGGCACCTGGTGTTTCAAAATGAAACGTGAAGGAGGAATCAGCAGCAGAGCATTGCTTTAAATAAAGTCCTTTGTGAAGTCCCATAGTAACGTGGGATGCGGTTTTGGCGTCTACCGTCGTGGACTTGTGTTAGAGTGCATGGCGCAATATTTTCCAACACAAATGATGTGGCACATTAAAAAATTAACGTGTTCAAAACTGTATTAGAATAATAAATAGGTGTTTCCAAAATAATAATAATAATAATAATAAATAGGTTAAAAATTTTGTTTGATAATGAACCTACTATGGGTTGAGTTTGAGCATGTTAACTGTTCAATATACACAAAAGGGTAATATGTGAGAACACTCATTCTCAACCATCTTTTTATCAATATACATATTAAAGGTAAAGAAAACCAGCATAAAGGGAGCCATGTGGAGGTTGGAGAAGTTGATGTTTCCTCTTGAAAAGTGGAAAAAAATGGGGGAAAAAGAAAAGAAAAGAGAACCTTGGATTCTACATTTCTCAAAGTATCAGTGATGCTTCCATTGCCATGTTATGGGAAATGCGAGTGGCCAAATTCCAATATAGATATCATGCATGTACCATGACGCCAATTGCCAAAGTTCAATATCAATGGTCAATGTTGTTCCTTCCTTCATGTGCCTCCTAATTATATCTATTTGTTACCCTGCCGCTCTCAATATCTCCATATATAATATAGCCTATGCCCCCCCTCTCCACACTCTTTCCAACCCTTATTTGTTTTATTTTTTTTCAGCGCACAACTCGGTCCTAGTTTCTCTTCCTTTACCTTCTATAGAGTATATGAAAAGAAAATAATACATTTCATTTCTTTATTTCTGAATCGTACATATATATTCTTTCATGCAGGCACATCACACTCATTATTAATTTCTAATACTAAGTTTGACTTAAGTAGTTGAGAATATACAAATGTCAAGACTTTGAGATTGCAAAAATATTTTAAAATAGGTAGCTTCGTTACTCTAAGTGAGTTTAATCCCTCACTTAATAGGATATCCAATCAACAACAAAAATAAAAATAAAAAACTTTTAGTACTCCTTAACCACGAGTGATGGGAGAAGCAAATGCGATAATAAAAGTATATATGTAATTATAGCAAGTATATTATAAGAATCAATTTTCTTAAATTTTTCTTATTCACTTACATTTTGTCTTTTTGTGTTTTTTTTTTTTTTAAAAAAAAAATTGTCATTAAAACCCAACTCACATGCAAGGCCAATAAAGTAAGGACTTGTAGTCAACATATGTTTTAAAAATAAAAGTGTAAATATACAATTTGATTCTTAAAGTTATTTTTCTCTGGCACTTTAATCTTTTAAATTTATTTATGGAGTGAGGATATATTTATAAATTATTTTCTTTATCACCTTTTACAATCGTTTTAGTTTATCGTATGATTAAAATTAAATCAACGGTTAAATAATGACATCAAATTAGAGTCGTTAATTTAATTTTGATCTAATGGTAATAAAATGATTGTATGAAAAAAAACTTATCAATATAACCTACATTTTATTTTATTTGTATAAATTAGTCTTTAAATATATAAAACTCATTAATTTTTCTTCTATACCATTTTAGTTTTTCTTGATGCATCAATTGATGGAAAGATATCGAGAAAAAAAGAAGGATTTACATATGATGTTCATAGATCTTGAGAAAGCATACGATAAGGTCCCAAGAAAAGTTTTATGATGGGTTCTTGAGAAGAAAAGAGTACCATCAAAGTATGTAAATGCAATCAAGGATATATATGATAGGTCTACTACATGTGTGAAAGCTTGTAATGGAACATCAAGTTATTTTCCTATTATAGTAGGTGTACACTAAGGTTCGGCTCTGAGTCCTTATCTTTTTGCCTTAGTGATGGATGAACTAACAAAAGACATTCAAGAGGAAGTGTCGTGACGTGTGCTTTTTACATATGATATTGTGCTTATTAATGAGGACAAAGACGGTGTTAGTAGGAAACTTGAATTGTGGAGAAGCACTTTGGAGTCTAAATGTTTCACGTTAAGCTGGAGCAAGACTGAGTATATGAAGTGTGAGTTTTCTCTTGTAAGAGATGAAGATTAAGACCCTGTGTATCTACTTGGTCAAAGAGGTACCCAAGAAAGATGCTTTTAGATACATGGGATCAATTTTGCAAAAAGGTGGTGAGATTGATGAGGATGTAAATCATAGAATCAGAGCAGGATGGATGAAATGAAGGAGTGCATCTGGGTTTTTGTGTGACTGCAAAATTCCACTTAAGTTAAAAGAAAATTTTTATAGGACAACAATAAGGCCTGCAATGTTATATGGAGCTGAATGTTGGCCAGCACATAGGCAACACGAGCATAAAATGAGAGTAGCACAAATGATGAAGTTAAGGTGGATGTGTGGTTATACGATGATGGATAAGATAAGAAATGAAGATATTCGACGAGAGGTAAAAGTAGTACCCGTAACGGAAAAGATGAGGAACATAGATTGAGATGGTTTGAGCATGTAATGAGATGACCCCTGGATGCTCTTGCAAGAACAAAAGTTTGTTACCAAGAGCTTAACACAAAGAGAGGTAGAGGTAGACCGAAATTTACCTGGGGAAAGGTAGTTAAACAAGACTTAATGGAGTGAAATATAGATTGGAGGACGATGTGTCTTGGGACGGAATGGAGAAAAGCTATAAACAGGGTGAAAAGTTAAACCCATTGTTATTCCTATGTTCCAGATGGTTCATTTTTAATCCTTTTCCTCTTCAATCCCCCCTCTCTTTCTTTTTCCCTTCTTGTCTTTTATCTTATTTACCCCATCCCCAAATTTTTTTTTATTTTTGTATTTATTTATTTATTTTATTTTTATTTTTGTATTTATTTATTTTATTTTTATCTTTATTTTTTATTTATTTATTTTATTTTTTAATCTCCTCTTATTTGTCATTGGGTTCATCTACTACTGACCCTAATTAGCTTGGGTTAAAGGTGTTGTTGATGATGATCATTTTAGTAATTTAAAAACACTAATTTCATACGATTTTTTGCAAAATTAAGGACCAGCTTATACATGTAAATAAGTTCAGGAAGTAAACTTTAAGTGAAAAATAATTTTCAAGATTATAGTATCTATTTATTCAAATAAAATAAGTTGAACTTGTGTGTGTGTGTTTTGTTTTTAATAATCCTATTAAACAATGCAGGAAAGAAAGATATAGGAGGCCCAACGTGACTCGTTGGACCGTGGTCTGTGATTGCAAAGTTTAAGGCTTTCCAAATAGATGGGCTTTGGGCTGATAATTTGATAAGGCTAGTTCATCGAAATTTAATTACATGGCCAACATAATGGTGCCACGTGGAAATGGAAACATGACTATGTGGTCGTTACTGCCACTAGTTTTTGGATGATGTTCACTAACTATGTTGGGAGTTTCGGTGCCTCACCTTCGCCTCTCATTCTTAACGTACCCTTTTCAGTTTCCAGACATACACAGCACAACACAACACAAACCAGAAAACAGGACAGAAAAAAAATAAAACAACTGAATTGAAGGGAGTGAGAAATGACAGTAGTTTCTTCTCTTTCTCTCACTCACTTGCATTCCACATTTCTATGTTGTCCTCTAAAATCCTTAAAGCCTTCATCTAGAAATAGAATTCAAGCAAAACCCACATCTTATCCACGTATTAGAGCTTTGGAGCTTGATCAAAACACGGTTCATACTTCTATTTCTTCTTGATTTATTTATTATTTATTTATAATGAGAAAAAGTTTTTTTTTTTTTTTTAATTAGTTTAAATTATTACATTATAAATGTTTTTCAGGTGGTGGCTATAACTGTAGGTGTTGCGAGTGTGGCTCTCGGGATTGGCATTCCAGTGTTCTATGAGTCCCAAATCGATAGTGCTGTGAAGTGTTTTTACTTTACAATAGACCATTTATTTTATTTTATATTATTTACTATATCATCTAATGTTTTGGTATTTCTGATTGGGTTTTACTTGCACCTTATCTTTGTTGCAGGCTAAGCGAGACAACACCCAGCCCTGCTTCCCATGCAATGGATCTGGTGCTCGTGAGTTTTATCTTTTATCTTTTGATCTTTTTATTCATCATACTTCATGCTTGCTAAGGCAGGTTACAAAGTGGTTTGTAGTAGTTGTTGTTGTAGCTATAGAGTAAGTCAGAGGATCTTGCAATTTTGTTTTTGATGAAGTTTTTTATGATGCTTATGAGAATGTCAGATTGAACCTGTTTAATTTGTGCTTGACATTAGGTTTTAAATGTAATCAGTTCAACTCCTCATAGTGAAAATATACTTGGTTATATAGTTGAAGTCTAGGATCTTAATCATCGATAAATAAATCAACCATGATGATTTTGTAACTTTCCATCCAATATTTTTCTCTCATCCTTTACCACCACACCACTGATTCACCCTTGTATGGTTAAAATCCTCCCACATGATATGATTATGTTAAATAACACATAAAAGGATTCACTCCAATTTTTTAGTGTGACAGTGTGAACATCGAATCTCATAGCCACTTTGTCTTCCACAAGTTGCTTAAGATATATACAATCAATTAAGGGACAACATAAGATTGGAAAAGGGAAACAATTTCAGTAGTTATGAAAATTTGATTGTCTCAACAATACAGCAGGCTAGAGATATGCTAGTCCATATATTCACCAGTTTAAACTTCTTCCCTTTAAAAATGGAAATTCAATTGTTCAGAATTTTTTTTTTATTTTTTTTTTACCAATCTTTTGTTTTAAATTGTTACATTTTTGCCAGAGAAATGCAGATTTTGCTTGGGAACTGGCAGTGTAACAGTTGAACTTGGTGGGGATGAGAAGGAGGTCTCTCGGTGCATAAATTGTGATGGTGTTGGCTCACTGACATGCACCACTTGTCAAGGATCTGGAATTCAACCTCGATACCTTGACCGCAGGTACGGAGTTCTGCAGTCTGATTTTTCTTTCCCTTTTGTAATTTATTGATGAACAAGTTTAGTCTTTATGCATCTATGGACTAGCTATTTTGAAATCTTGGTTCTTGTATTCTTAACTATTATGTTGTGTTTCACCTTGATCAGAGAATTCAAAGATGATGACTGAGACAAGCTAAGAATAAGTGGTGCTGATTTTGGATTTAATCATGAGGTTAATGTACTCATTTGATTTTTTTGGGTCTGTGTACACGCCTAACACAACTGTCAAAATCATGTTGATGATCTTTCATTTGGTTTACCTTTTAATGGGTGAGTTAGGCCACTTCCTCTTGTGACCTATCTGTGTAAAATTTTGGCACTTCCAGACATTATTTTATTCAATCATTCAATGTCCTGTTGTAAACATTGGACTTTGTTGGCTATATGTTCCCAGGACTAAGGAACTATATGCCTAAATTATTATTGCTCATGTTATTTATATTTCTGTTGAATTAACTGTTTATGGGAGTTGACTATCATAATAACAGGCATAATTAGCCTCTGAAGTGGGAAGTAGGAATTATCTCTATGGTATAGCCTGAATTTCTGGAAGCCTTGCCTATTTTCCTTTTGGTTGCTGTAAAATTGATGATGGGTAGCTGTTAAGCATGAAAAATAGTTTTCAGTTTTGATCGAGTGTGTCACATTTTGCTTTAAGGAGCCCCAGGAATGAAATATGAAATCATGTTCCTCGTCCGTGATAGATTTTACTTTGTGGGGATTTGATGGGGTTTTCCACTTTTTAAATGTGATTATTAAAGAGATAGAATCAAGTTTTATTATTGTACATAGATGGACCCACCGTGAAGAGTTATGAGATAAAATACTTGAATTCAAAACTATTTGTGACTATTTTTTTAACGTGACATTCTCCTGTTATTTAAAAGAAGAAAGAATCTTGATCCACTTGTGTATTGATTTGATCAGTTATGGTGAAGTTGCACAAATAATAAACTAGAGAGTCAAAGCTCTCTAGAGACTATCTTTTTCATTCTGATAACTCAAACTCGAGAACTTTAATTAAGAAAAACAAGCTCCTTGGTTCGCTTCCTGATACTATTTCTGAACAAACAGAAACAGTTGAGGTTTTTTTTTTTATCAGCTGAATGAAGCCAATGATACAACAGTTGCCTTCTCAATTTTGCCACTTCACTTGTAATTACAAATCATCTGAAAATAAGTTTTAGTGGTAATTTCCATCGCCCTATGTTTGAAAGCTTTAGAATTAAAAAGAATATTTTTGAAATAAAATGATTTACTGATTCGATTTTATAAATATTGCAGAAAATAATTTGCAACATAGATTGAACTTTTGATATAATATCATTCTAAGAAGTTGCTATTCAATTCATTCAAAAAGATTCACACACGGTCAAAAAAATGTTAAATCTATGATTCATTCACGCCTAAATTAATAAGACATGCTTAGTGAAACATTTGGTCTAAATCTGCATATATATTCCGGATCAAACCAAAGGTCCAAGTCACACTCTTATACATACGAGTACGACAGTCCCACAAAGGATGCATAATAGAACATTGGTATTTGCAAGCTTCTTAATTTACACTTCTTTAACAACCGTTATATTCAGCATTTTACACTTTCATCAAACACTTATTTACATTTGATCAACCGGTAACAAAGATAGATATGAATTGAATGGTTAGTAAAAATCATATCTGCAGAAACTACTATGGAAATCATGTCCAGATTAAATAGCAATTATAAACAACTGCCGCAGGTTGCAAGAGCTAAAACAGCATCACATACAGCAAAAAAGGAGGGTATAGTATAAACAAGTTTTTATGCCTAAGTAATTACTTCAAAATGGCTTTAAATCTATTCTAAGGTAATGGACTTTTACTGCATTTTCCTTGTAACCATGTCAGTCGTATCTTGACACTTTTTAAAGAAATGAATGTTTCCCTTAAACTAGGGTCCTCAAAGAGGTCCAGTGCAGAAAAGTAGAGCTGTTGATCAATGCCTTGTATCTCATCCAGAGCCCTAATGCAGTTTGTTATGGAAAATTTATCATCACTTACACTTGAAATAACTGCCCTTAACCTTGAAACAGCAACCATCTCTAACAAGGCTTCTGCCATAGCATTGCAGTTATCTAGATCGAGACTAGTAGAATGAGTCTCATAAGGACGTTTCCTTTTCCTATCTTGAGAATTCTTGGTCACCTTCTCAGAAGTAGAGATATTCCCTGGAATGGACTTTGATGATGATGGATTTTCGTAATGTGAGACCCTAGCTTCTGGACATGAAGTTAAGCCAGCAGCATCTATTCCAATAGATTTGTCTAACTCTTCATAATGACTAGATTGGGCATATTTCCCATCAGCAGCTGAATCTATGAATATTGTGCAGAGCTGCTCATATATTGGGCAATCTTTAACTTTAACTGTTTCATTCCTAGGTTGTGCCTGTAAACAAAACCTAACAAAATTTATATTTAAAAATAGAGAAAAGGAAGAGATTGCCATAAAGAAAGGAGTTTACCCCTATGTCTTCCCACTGTTCAAAGCCAATGCAACAGGAATCATCCATTACAAAGTCATTATTTTGATCATAAGCAGATTTCAAATTATAGAAGCGTGTCCGAAGAACATCTAGATGTTTCCTCAATTGATTGTTATTGAAATTAAGGTCTGTTTCCCTATTAAACTCATCGCGAATGTGGTTCCATGTTTTCTTGTCAAAAATGTTGTTTGGTCTGTTTCCCAATTGAATCTGCTTGACAACCAAGTCTGCAAATATCTTGTCAAGGGATGCTGTCCATCTTGTCCTCGAACGCTCTTGCTTGGGTTGATTACTGGGTTCTAGTTCCATCTACGCCTGCATAAATGCATATTAAATTGATACTTTTCTCAATAATATTCTCATAAATACACCTCTTACAACGATTCCGCTAAAGTTTAAGAGAAAGTAAAGAGCCTCTAGCAAGGAAGCTTATAATTACCCAAGTCACAGATCAAAAATTTCATTTTTAGAATAAGTGTCACAACTATCCCGTAGGGCACCATGACAAGAGAGGCAGCAAAAGAAAATAAAACAAAAGCTACCACCAACTTTTTCAAAAAGGGAAAAATTAGGAAAACCTCTATTATTTTTAAAGGAGGGAGGATTCAAGAGTCTAATTATGTGCAGGAATGAGTGAGGACTTAACTCCACTACTGTCGCTACAGCATCAGTTTAACAACGATTACACTAAGCTAATTGTACAAGAAAATGGGGGGCGGGGAGGGGGGGGGGGGAGAGATTATAGCCTCATATTTCACATCCTTTTGTTCTTTTTTCCTTTTCTTCTTCTTCTCCTTCTTCTTCTTCTTCTTCTTCTTATTATTATTATTATTATTTTCCATTTCCCTCTCCTTTTCTAGCTTTCTTTTTCATATCATACATAACAACACTATATAAAGAGAGAAAGGAAAGAGAAGGACACACACAATAACATAAAAAGACCTCCAGCATCTGGTTTATTCAGTAAATAGAAAGACATGTATAACAAATTTCAAAAGACCAACAGAGACAAACCAAGAAACGTTAAACCAAGGGGTGAAGGGAAAAGGATCCCATTCCAATACTACACATCTATCAACTAAACTCTTTCTGAGCATCCCCCTTTACAGGAACTCCAATCACCCTTCATTTCAAGGCTCAAGCTCAGTAAAGTAAATACAGTACTGATAACTAGCAGCTTACTAAATAATATGTTAGGAAATTATAATACATATAATTGAAGCAATATCTGTTTTAATTGCAAAAAAATAAAAATAAAAAGATATTCACAGATACCGAAGTCCTGGATTTATTTAAATTTTTATCACATGACCACATGAGGATGGAAACCCCTTATTCATGATCAACAAGAGATTCTGGCATACATCAGGTCTATGCAAGAACCTCATGATCAACAGGGTTATCAGATACTCTGATTACAAAACACTTTCAGACAGTCATGTATTATTCTATTCTATAGTGAAAAATTATATATTGTTTTATTTCAGGAAGAAAGGGTTAAATAAGAAATACAACTAAAGCTGTTTAATTTTTACCGTGAAGTTTGATCCAAACAATGCGATTGCTCTATGCACATGACACAAACTGAGCCCCTCTGCATGTTTGCGAAATATAAAGGCAATGTACATAGCAACTTCAACAATTGATTCAAAATAAATATTTTGTCTAAATTTCTAATGTTTGAGGGAAAAAAAACGAAATAAAATTGAAAAAGAGTAAAACCCTAGGATAGGAGTGAGGGTATTGATGAAGGAAAAAGGGGGCAATGGCTATCGACGATCGTATTTATTATATGTAGGAATGAAAAGAACGCAGTAACAGTGGACCTTACCTGCACAGAGATTTTGCAAGCGAGAGAGTTGAAAATTGAAATGTTGAATCCTCTTTTCCAATCAAAGCCTGTATCTGTATACAGAAAAACGAACTAAATCGAAACGGCAAAGAAACTGAATTTTCAATTTTATTTTTTTTAAAATATTTTAAATTGGTGACAATTTGGGTTTCAGAGTAGGAATGGAATGTGTACGAGGAAGGTAACATGTCACGAAGCGATTGGCTCATTTCACAGTTTCCTCTACTTTATTTTAAATTGATTTATCGATTTGGGACTATTTTGATTAGAATTTGGTGTCTGTCAGTCATTTTAGAAGAGATAGACACACAAAAATGAAAATCATAGCAGAGAAAAAGTGGGTAGTTTTTTTCAATTTAAAATTCAAATAATTTTTTTTGTGTGTCTGTCTCTCTCTTAAAATGACATAATTTTATGTTATTTAAAATGACAAACATTTTTTCCTTTTGATTAAGGACAAATTATAAAATTAAGACTTTAAATTTCTTCTAGAAATAGTAAACAAACATATGCTCTTATTTTTACTCTCTTAATTTTCTATTATTAACTGAGCTACCATGATTTGTTATCTTCTTCACCATATATATATGGGAAAAGTGTTTGTCATTTTAAATGACATAAAGTTATGTCAATTTAAGAGAGAGATAGATACAAAAAAATCTTTTTTTAAAAAATTTAAATTAAAAAAAAACCACTCACTTTAAATTAAAAAAAAAAAACACTCACTTTCTCTCCCATGATTTCCATTCTTTATGTCTATCTCTCTTAAAATGACATAACTTATATCCATAGTTATTAAAATCGGACCGACCTGGCCGGGTCGACCCAGGAACCGGTAAACCGATCATATAACTGGTCCGTTTGAAGCAACGGACCGGCCATGCATCAGACCCGGTGTGACCCGGTCCGACCCGGCCGGTTTTCATAAAAAACTGGTGACCTGGTCGATTAACCGGTGACCCGGCCCGGTCCCAAAAAAAAAATTCCAAAAATTTTTTTTTTCAAAAAAAATCATAATGGACATATTTAAATATTTTTTTGCTTATTAACTTACATAAGTTATGTACCTACAACACTAATATTATCTCAATTATGTACTATGCAGAAAATTTTGAATTAATTTATAGTTAAATATGTCATTTTTTAAACCTAAAATCCCGTATCACGATCATTATATTTTGTTTGATCTTTTATTAGATAATAATATGTGATTTATTATTTTTTATATTAAAATATTTGAAATTTTTATCATTTTTTTTATATATTTGAGTATGTTAATAATTTTTTAATATAAATTATAAAATTGCATATAATTACCGGGTCATGCAATTGAACCAGTGACCCAGTACCTCGACTGGGTCAATGACTGGGCCGGTTTTAATAACATTGCTTATATCATTTAAAACGACAAACACCAAACCGTACAGTTATATATATATATATATATATATATATATATACATATATATATGGAAAATATTATACTTACTGCATTTTTTCCTTACTACCTCTTACTACTAAATCTTAACCGTTGATTTTCGTCAATCTAACGGTTATAATTTATTGAAAATTAATAATTAATTAATAAGTGTGACCCAATAAATTATAACCGTTAGATTGACAGAAATTCACGGTTAAGATTTGATAGTAAGAAATAGTAAGAAAAAAGTAGTAAGTATAACATCTCCACACACATATATATATATATATATATATATATATATATATATATATGGGAAAAATATTTCTGCAGTTAATGCAGATAAATTATCTGCATTTATTTCCAAAACGACGTCGTTTTTATATTGAAATCTTAAAAAATTATAAATATAAAGACTATTATAACCCTGAAAAAAATTAAAATTATAAAAATACCATGATTTTCGCCCAAAACAACGTCGTATTAGCTTACTGCAGATAACTTATCTGCAGTAACTGCAGAAAAAGCGAACCCTATATATATATATATATATATATATATATATATATATATATGAGGTTTGATTTTCTCATGTTGCATGAGAATTCAATTCTCATGTTGTGACTCAACTAGTGGTGGGTCCCACATTTATTAAAAAAAGAAAAAGAAAAAGAAAAGCTTTGCAGGCAAATCGAAGGGTCACAACATGAGAATTGAATTCTCATGCAACATGAGAAAATATTTTTCATATATATATATATATATATATATATATATATATATATAATATTGTAAGCATTATATAAAAATAAATAAATATAAGCTTATAAGTACAAAGATTGAAGTATCTTCTTAATTCTTTTCCCCTCGGTGAATAGTATCTGTATCTTCTTCTATAATTCCCTTCACTCTCCTCGTTTCACCTTTATTTATTTTTTACCTTTTTATAAGATATTCAATATAAGATATTTTTGCTTTCAATTTATTTTAACTGTTATATTAGCATAAATAAATTAACTAATACAAGTAATGAAGAGAAATTGATCCGTTAAAAAATATATGATATGATAATATGAAAAAATTATAACTATACAAATGTAAATCAATGATGATGATTTTGTAAATTGTAACTATCTATTTCAATATTTGTTCTATCTCTTTTTTTATTATCATTAATTCACCTTTGTATGATTATGATTCCCCACATGATCATATCATCTTTTTTAACATGAGAGAATTCACTCCCGGAATAAAGTAATCTTACTTAAATACCTAATTTTACTTTTTTTTTTTTATAACATTAAGGGGCGAAGCCCCAAACAAAAACAAACAAACAACCAGAAACAAAAAATAACTATCCAGGGTCTATATCCCTACAAGAGGAGATTCCCTGAAGATCGTGATCAAATAACTGAGCAAGGTGAAACGGCATAACTCTATGACTCCAGAATCCAGTATCTTTGTGAAGAGCAGACTTGGCTAACCAATCTGCACAGGAATTAGCTTCTCTTGGAATATGAGAAAGCGTTACCTCCCAATCCTGACCGATTAGTGCTTGTATCTTAGCCACTATACGAGGCTGACAAGCTGCATTGCAATCAGCAAGCAAAGAGAATACTTCAGAAGCATCTCCTTCTAGTTCCACCTTCTTAAATCCCAGTTGCCAAACCAATTCCAGACCTTTTAGAGTTTCCCAAAGCTCCGCCATTAAAGGAGTGCAAGCACCAATATGATACTCAAAGCCTCCCAACCAAGAGCCATCATCAGATCTGATAATCCCACCACAAGCAGCCACCTCAGTATTTCTTTCAAATGCCCCATCAATATTAATCTTCACCCAATTTAGCCTTGGAGGTTTCCATAAACTTATACGAGTTGGATGAATGCTAGTAGTAGCCATAGCCTTCCTACCCATGCAATTACGAACTTCCTCTATATGCATAGCAATTATGTGTGTTCCATGGGTTGGATGCTTGAAGTTAGTATCATGGACACTTTTGTTCCTCCATCCCCAAATGAACCAGCAAGAGATAAAAAAGACATCACGCCAATCATCTGAATTACTTTGATTCCAAGCTTTTGAGATATTATTTTCAACCCAATCTCTAAGATCCAAGCTGTAGAATAAGCTTTGCCGATTAGCTGAAACCAGAGAATTCCAAACACTTCTAGCATGCTTACAATCTCTTAGAACATGGAGATTTGTTTCCAACTCACCAGGACACATTTTACAATGACCAGATTCCCCACTCCATCTAGATGTGCGGTCTTTAGTAAGAAGGCGGCCATGCATTATGATCCACATACAAGATTTAACACGTTGAGGCCCATGCCATTTCCATATGGTAGTCCAAGAATTTTTCAACGGCATGAAAGGGAAACCAAGCATGTTATAATACGCGGTTTTAACTAAAGAGCAGCCAACCTTTTGATTTCTCCAAATAATGCAGTCATTTCCATCCGATGCGCTAGGAATGAGAGCAGCTTGGATCCTTGCAACAGCTTGATCATTGAGATATTGACGAATATAGGGAAAATTCCATTGACCAGTATTGCTGTTCACGAAGGCACTAACAGGGAGATTCAACTCCAAACCTGTTGGAGTACGAGTAGCCAGAGAGGCAAGACACTCAGTTAAACCCAACCAATTGTCTGTCCAAAATAATGCATCATTACCGTCTCCAATCTCCCATTGCATTGCTTGAAGAAAAGATGGCCAAACACTACACAGATTTTTCCAGAAGTATGAGTCATATGCTTTATAATTTACTTCCCTCCGAAGATCCAAACCTCTCTTATATTTACTTGTTATAACATGAACCCACAACGAATCGGGCGAAGTAAGAATCGTCCATGTAAGCTTATGAAAGAAAGCCATATTTTGGACACGAAGGTTAATCACCCCTAAGCCACCCATGCTCTTAGGCTTGCAAATATTATCCCATGCAACCAAATGAGATCTCCTTTGACCATTTTTATCACCCCAAATAAAGGCACGCTGCAACTTCTCTATTTCATCACAAATGGCTACATGGAGCAGACTGTGTTGCATTTGAAATATAGGAGTTGCTGAAATAACGGAGTTGGAAAGAGTAATTCGACCGGCAAAAGATAAGACATGGTTACTCCAACCAGATAACTTGTGCCTAATTCTTGCAACAACATCAGCATAATGGTCTTTGGTTACTCGACCATGTTTCATCATGGACCCAAGATATCTCCCTATATTGTGAGTTTGCTTGAAGCCACACACATTTGTGATATCATATGCAATGTGAGCATCTGTATTTTTCGAGAAAAAAATACTAGATTTCGGAATACTAACCTTTAGGCCAGACATTGAACTAAAAGTCTCCAAGCAATCCACTATAACTTTGATTTGATCTAGAGAAGCTTCTGCAAACAGCATCAATTGATAGTAAATCAGTTGTATATTGAAATGCATTAATGATACATTATTATTTATTTCTTAATTTTAAATACTAAAAATAGTAACATGATAATAAATAATAGAAATTAATAAAGGTTAATATAAAATTTAGGGCTTAATATTTCTTTTTTTATTGCAGAAATATTTTTCTATCACACTTGTAATATTATAAAAATGAATAGTAGAACGCTAAAAACATTGTGATGTGTCTTGGAGTGGTGCTTAAAATG